GATCATTATTTCTTTCTGTAAGGTACAGTAATCAGCTGCTCAGTAGACACGTTCGTCATTCTGTCACTGGGTGTGTGATGGCTGCATCTAGCAGATACTGCCACAATGTGAAAATATTTAACCTATGATCATTATTTCTTTCTGTAAGACACAGTAATCACCTGCTCAGTAGACATGTTCATCATTCTGTCACTGGGTGTGTGATAGCTGCATCTAGCAGATACTGCCACAATGTGAAAATATTTAACCTATGATGATTATTTCTTTCTGTAAGGTACAGTAATCAGCTGCTCAGTAGACACGTTCGTCATTCTGTCACTGGGTGTGTGATGGCTGCATCTAGCAGATACTGCCACAATGTGAAAATATTTAACCTATGATCATGATTTCTTTCTGTAAGACACAGTAATCACCTGCTCAGTAGACATGTTCATCATTCTGTCACTGGGTGTGTGATAGCTGCATCTAGAAGATACTGCCACAATGTGAAAATATTTAATCTATGATCATAATTTCTTTCTGTAAGACACAGTAATCACCTGCTCAGTAGACATGTTCATCATTCTGACACTGGGTGTGTGATAGCTGCTTCTAGAAGATACTGCCACAATGTGAAAATATTTAATCTATGATCATTATTTCTTTCTGTAAGACACAGTAATCACCTACTCAGTAGACATGTTCATTATTCTGTCACTGGGTGTGTGATAGCTGCATCTAGCAGATACTGCCACAATGTGAAAATATTTAACCTATGATCATTATTTCTTTCTGTAAGACACAGTAATCACCTGCTCAGTAGACACGTTCATCATTCTGTCACTGGGTGTGTGATAGCTGCATCTAGCAGATACTGCCACAATGTGGAAATATTTAATCTACGATCATTATTTCTTTCTGTAAGACACAGTAATCACCTGCTCAGTAGCCATGTTTGTCATTCCGTCACTGAGGGTGTGATAGCTACATCTTGCAGATACTGTCATCGTGGAAATTTTCAACTCTAAACTTTTATATGTAAGGCACAGTAATCACCTGCACAGTAGATATATTTTTATCCTGTCACTGGGTGTATGATAGTTATTGCTGTGAGTTACTAACCTTAATTATGATATTTTGACTGTTTTATCTTACAAATAAATAAAATTTAAGTGTCTGTTTGTAATAGTAAAAAGCAGTCTTTTGTTAAATGCATATAAAAGTATATACGGTACTTATAACCAAACACAATTTTTAAAATGTTTGTCCGTTTGTCCGAAATGGTTTTATTTTGGCGGGACTTTTACTGGCAGATAGCTGATGAAATATTCGGCTACTTTTCTTTTTTTAAAGAATTAGGGTACCACGTAAAAAAATTAAAACATTAAATTACACATGGGCAAAGTCGCGGGGAACAGATAGTGTCAATAATTATTAATGAGTTACACTCATAACTGTAGCTGTCAAATGCTCATGACATGATTTTTTTGTTTTATAGACAATAAATATTTACTTGCTTACTATTTGCTTCAGCTGTCAAATGCTCGGTAGACTAGTTGCTCATTCTGTCACTGGGTGTATGATAGCTATCGCTGTGAGTTACTATTCACATTTGACATATTTTTTTATAGATAATAAATATTTGCGGGTTATTGTCATAGCTTCAGCTGTCAAATGCTCGGTAGACTAGTTGCTCATTCTGTCACTGGGTGTATGATAGCTATCGCTGTGAGTTACTATTCACATTTGACATATTTTTTTTATAGAAAATAAATATTTACGGGTTATTGTTATAGCTTCAGCTGTCAAATGCTCGGTAGACTAGTTGCTCATTCTGTCACTGGGTGTATGATAGCTATCGCTGTGAGTTACTATTCACATTTGACATATTTTTTTATAGACAATAAATATTTACGGGTTATTGTCATAGCTTCAGCTGTCAAATGCTCGGTAGACTAGTTGCTCATTCTGTCACTGGGTGTATGATAGCTATCGCTGTTAGTTACTCTTAACATTTGACATATTGTTTTATAGACAATAAATATTTACGGGTTATTGTCATAGCTTCAGCTGTCAAATGCTCGGTAGACTAGTTGCTCATTCTGTCACTGGGTGTATGATAGCTATCGCTATTAGTTACTCTTCACATTTGACATATTGTTTTATAGACAATAAATATTTACGGGTTATTGTCATAGCTTCAGCTGTCAAATGCTCGGTAGACTAGTTGCTCATTCTGTCACTGGGTGTATGATAGCTATCGCTGTGAGTTACTATTCACATTTGACATATTTTTTTATAGACAATAAATATTTACGGGTTATTGTCATAGCTTCAGCTGTCAAATGCTCGGTAGACTAGTTGCTCATTCTGTCACTGGGTGTATGATAGCTATCGCTGTGAGTTACTATTCACATTTGACATATTGTTTTATAGACAATAAATATTTACGGGTTATTGTCATAGCTTCAGCTGTCAAATGCTCGGTAGACTAGTTGCTCATTCTGTCACTGGGTGTATGATAGCTATCGCTGTGAGTTACTATTCACATTTGACATATTTTTTTATAGACAATAAATATTTACGGGTTATTGTTATAGTTTCAGCTGTCAAATGCTCGGTAGACTAGTTGCTCATTCTGTCACTGGGTGTATGATAGCTATCGCTGTGAGTTACTATTCACATTTGACATATTTTTTTATAGACAATAAATATTTACGGGTTATTGTCATAGCTTCAGCTGTCAAATGCTCGGTAGACTAGTTGCTCATTCTGTCACTGGGTGTATGATAGCTATCGCTGTTAGTTACTCTTAACATTTGACATATTGTTTTATAGACAATAAATATTTACGGGTTATTGTCATAGCTTCAGCTGTCAAATGCTCGGTAGACTAGTTGCTCATTCTGTCACTGGGTGTATGATAGCTATCGCTATTAGTTACTCTTCACATTTGACATATTGTTTTATAGACAATAAATATTTACGGGTTATTGTCATAGCTTCAGCTGTCAAATGCTCGGTAGACTAGTTGCTCATTCTGTCACTGGGTGTATGATAGCTATCGCTGTGAGTTACTATTCACATTTGACATATTTTTTTATAGACAATAAATATTTACGGGTTATTGTCATAGCTTCAGCTGTCAAATGCTCGGTAGACTAGTTGCTCATTCTGTCACTGGGTGTATGATAGCTATCGCTGTGAGTTACTATTCACATTTGACATATTTTTTTATAGACAATAAATATTTACGGGTTATTGTCATAGCTTCAGCTGTCAAATGCTCGGTAGACTAGTTGCTCATTCTGTCACTGGGTGTATGATAGCTATCGCTGTGAGTTACTATTCACATTTGACATATTTTTTTATAGACAATAAATATTTACGGGTTATTGTCATAGCTTCAGCTGTCAAATGCTCGGTAGACTAGTTGCTCATTCCGTCACTGGGTGTATGATAGCTATCGCTGTTAGTTACTCTTCACATTTGACATATTGTTTTATAGACAATAAATATTTACGGGTTATTGTCATAGCTTCAGCTGTCAAATGCTCGGTAGACTAGTTGCTCATTCTGTCACTGGGTGTATGATAGCTATCGCTGTTAGTTACTCTTCATAGTGGCACTTCACATGGCTATTTGGTATTTGTGATAGCATGTTGCCGTATTTGGCAAAAAAATTGACGTAAGGGCAAATAAACGATATAACCGTCCACACATGGAGCCAAATACCAAAAAATGAAACATGTTTGCCAGCGTAAAGTAGTTGTACCTATAAAATGGACGTTGCACTTTCAGCTGGATTTTATTATTTGAACGCATGTTACTATTACATGTTATGCGTAAAAAAATACAAAGTGATAAAAAAAAGACCAAGAGCAAGGCGATGGTGGATGCTGACTGTGCATAAAAATCGAACCAAGTAAGTAATTTGTTTATTTCATTTGTAGAATGACTTTTGCATGACACGCAAATCATATTAACGAAAATTCCAATAAAATAAGAACCTAAATCTAATTAGTATATACAGAATAGAATAGAATAATTTTTTATTCAATATAGATCACATGTGTAATTCTTATTGAAAGTATTTTTTTTACTTTACCACTGGTTGGAAAAAAAACCCTCTGTCCTGAGAAGAACTAGCAAGAAATCCAGCAGGATTTTTTTAAAATAAATTTTACAATATAAATGGTTACAAACTATTTACAATTTATTTTAGAAACAGATTGCAAGCGACTACCTCGTTCCCAGGGTTTATTATCAACCATGTATTCATTTATATTAGCCCTTTTTATAGAGTTTTTCATTAATTAAATATTTAAACTTGGTAATAGCTATGGAGTGTAGAGTAGACACTCCATAGTAATAGCGTATACATTGCCCCAAGAACGGGTTACTGACTTTATGGACTCGAGATATAGGTCACTAGCTTGTGTTTGTTCCTAGTGTTTACAGAGTGTATATCACTTTTTACTAAAACTGTCTATGTTCTTGTGAACATACATAAAATTTTGGTAAATATACTGAGAGGCCAAAGTTAATATATTAATTTCTTTAAATTTATCTCTAAGAGACTCCTCGGTTTTAGGTTGTAAATACACAATAAAAGTTATTTATATTTCCAGGGAATCTATGGAGACAAGGTTTCAAGAAATGTTAGCAGAACCCTCTAACGAGTTTGATAATTTCTGCCGAATGTCTTATGCAGATTTTAATTTTTTGTTACAAAAAGTCCATCCCATAATTTCTAAAAAGGATACAAAATGGAGAGAAGCTATACCTGCAAAAGTTAGATTAGCGATTACTTTACGATTCCTTGCATCAGGAGACAGTTATAGAAGCCTTCACTATACCTTCAAGATATCAAGTCAAATAATCTCAAGAATTATAATGGAAGTGTGTGCTGCTTTATATCAGGTTCTAAAGGATCAAATCAAGGTAAACAACATATATAATTTTCATTAACTTTTATTAATCGTAATCAAATTATTTTTAAGTAGGTATTAAATATGCTATTAATTATTTTTCCCTCGAGGTATTTGCGATGGTGATGGTGTATACGACACCATTCTAGAAGTAGGATTCGGTAGATTCAAAGGAGTATCATTAGAGTATTCTGAGTATTCAACATGATATGCAGGAGAAGGAGCATCCATTTGCGGTGAAGATGACGTATACAAAACCTTTGTAGAATTTGGATAACTGTTAACACAATTAAGATATTCCACTTCTGTCGGAAATGCAACCTGTGGAGGAGATGCGATATTGCTTTGCGGTGGTGATGGTGTATACGATAACATTGTTGCATCAGAATTAGGTTGACTGGTAGCAGAATTCAGAGATGCCACATCTGTCGGATATGCAACCTTTGGCGAACTTGCAACCGCTGACGGAGATGCGATATTGATTTGGGGTGGTGATGGTGTGTATGATAGCATTGTTGCAGCAGAATTTGGGCGACTGGAAGAATAATTAGGCAAATTGAAGTTGTAGACGTGTTCATCGACAAATAGCTCATGTATTTTTGCCATCATGATGTCTCGGCGTTGTTCAGAAAGTTTTCGTAGCTTTCTAGCCACAAGTACCCCAAAGGTAGAGCATTCATCATCTTCATCCTTTAGCTGCAGCTGGGAATGTTGCTTCATAAAACTATATGCTTCATCCATTCGTTTTTTCGCTTCTATAAGTTCAGGTGGATTATTTTGTCTTCTTCTATGCAATATTGGTCTTGCTGTTGAACCCTGTTGTTCATTTGAATTTAATTCCTGTTGTTCTTGGCTTCTAATATTTTGATCTATAGGGCCCTGTTCTGTGTTTTGATCTTCATTAATCGTAAGTTCTTCATCCTGCAAGTATAAATAACATTAATATTTTTGTTACAGTTGCCCGTGGTAGAACAAGACTGGTTGGACATAGAAGGTGGCTTCCATCAACGTTTCCCGCACTGCATAGGTGCGATAGATGGAAAACATGTAGTGATACAGTCTCCAGTTAACAGTGGCTCAGAATATTACAACTACAAAAAATCTTTTAGCATCGTTTTATTAGCTTTGGTTGATAGTAATTACTGCTTTATGTATGCCGACGTGGGATGTCAAGGGAGGATAAGTGATGGAGGCGTTTTGAAAAACTCCGTTCTGTGGAATAAAATAAACAATAATACGTTGGGGCTACCAGCACCAATTCCACTACAAAATGGAAATGGTGACTTGCCATATGTATTCTTAGGTGATGGAGCATTTGCCTTACATAACAATATCATGAAACCATATCCAGGGAATCATCGAGAAGGCACCAAAGAAAGAATTTTCAACAAGAAGCTTTCATCAGCCCGTGTTATCGTTGAAAATGTATTTGGTGTTATGTCTGCTATATTTAGAGTGCTACGTTCGCCTATGCTACTTGAACCTGAATCAGCTAGCCAAGTAGTCATGGCGTGTGTAGTTCTACACAACTTTTTGAGAAGAAGTAGACTGTCTAGAAATGTATATAATCCACCTGGTACATTCGACCTGAATGATGGAGACGACTTAATAATACCAGGGTCATGGAGGGCCGATATTCCCAACAACCCAGCACTGCGTGATATTCGTAACATTCCTAGAAGATCTCCAAGGAATCCAGTCGAAATCAGAAACGACTTTGCTAATTACTTTTATAATACATGAAACTGATTGATCTGTAAACTTACCTATCTGTTTATTATTTGAAAATAAAATAAAATTATTATTATAAAATTTATAGGTAGTTATATTTTTTTTATAGATAATAATAATAATAATGTCCTCCAGACCGAATTTCGGCCACGGCGGCCAGCCTCAACGGAGACTAGCCATCTGCGCAGGACAGGATTATAGTGCCCAAGTGTATGCGCAAGCACAGGAGCACTCTCTATTCCCTCACTCTCATAGCCCGATGGGACGGTAAACCGACACGACCGGAGAGAGATCGGGCGTAGGACCAACGACTTTACGTGCTTTCCGAGGCACGGGGGTGAAACACCGCCAACTTCCTGACTCCAGGCAGATACTGAGAATTTCTTGATGGAAAAACTCAATAACTGATTTTTTTGGCCCGACCCGGGATTCGAACCCGGGACCTCATGATCAGCAGTCGCACTACTACAACCACTAGACAAACTACTTTGGAAATGATTACAGTAATACATACAGTGGTATTTTACTTTGTGTTTTTATCATCATACAACCAGTTTAAAATATCTTTCTTACTAGCTTAGCTAGCTTAGCATGTAAAGGTAATATTATAAATGGACATATTATCCCTTATTCATCTTGGCTTTAATCATATTTATTTAATTAGTGTAGTGGTGTTTGTGATGTATATTCACTAATTAATTAACTATGTAAAAATAGTCTCCACACCATGTTTGTTTGTCTGCTGTGCACCATTTTTTGCCAGACCTACTAAAAAGATTTTCCATCAATCTTAAAGTACCTATAAACGCTGAATGAACCTACAACTTTGTTTTATACTAATTTTAAGCTATTCTATTCTATAATATGTACTATTCTAACTCATAATATCGGTGAATACTACTAGAAAATAGTTTTTAGTTTGTTTATAGGTTATTGTGATATTCATATTTTTATTTTTAATTTTTCAGTATTCCCGTTAGATGCGGTAAAACTAATATTAATTTTGTAATTTATAGATGATAAGGAATAAATTGACATGCATTTCATTAATTGTAGCTAAAATTTGTGGTGGGCCCATTCTATATACAAAAAGAAATTGTCTTCTATAAATGTATTATTACTTACCACAGTGTTTATGGTACTGTTGCAGGTATAAACAGAATTCAAAAAACTATCCATGAATGCAAATGCAAACCAACTTGGTTGATACACATCGGATGCACCTGATCCGGATCGTTCGCTTTTCTTTATTTTGGTTTTGTAACCTCGGTACGCAGACATAAGCGACTCCTTCTTTTTTTTAAATCTTGCAGGGTACATGGTACACCCAAATTGTCTTTAATTGTATTCCACGCGTCGTTTACTCTTTGCCGGTTTTTATGCCCCTCGTTTCCAGGGTCCCAAATGCATGGGTTCATTTGGTAAAGTTCTAAAAACCTTACAACGGTTTCTTTGTCCCAATTCATTTTCCGTATGTATCTAAATAATTACTTATTAAGGTTATAAACAGGTCCGTCCGTACTGGTTGACAGTTCGCGCGCTTATGAGCCCGACCATGTGTGGCCAGTATATTTGCGTATTTGCCTATTTGTCTCCTTTGATGTGCCTTAAAAAACCGACAGACGATCGGTAAGCCGTATTTGTTATTGGCTATATTTGCCAAATAGGCAAATACGGCAATAATTATGGCAAATATACTCTCCACACATGGAAGTTATTTGTCGAATACCCCAAATACGCAAATACAAATAGCCATGTGAAGTGCCACCATCACATTTGACATATTTTTTTATAGACAATAAATATTTACGGGTTATTGTCATAGCTTCAGCTGTCAAATGCTCGGTAGACTAGTTGCTCATTCTGTCACTTGGTGTATGATAGCTATCGCTGTGGATTACTATTCTCATTTGAGCTTGAACTGGACCCACAACCTTAATTTCGTGTTCCTCACGCTGCTATTTTGTTACTACTTAGTCCAAGTATAATATACAGTGTAAGAAATAATAGTTTTTATTATACTTAGGCTATCACGCTCCTCGCCTCGTCATATTTAAATATTACTTATAAGTAAATACAGTTGCAGATAGGCGTGATTCTGCAATTATTACGCACTGGTTAAGCCTTACATGTAAGAATGATAATTTATGAGTATTCGGAGTGTAACTTATTATTGTGATACTTTATATTTGTTTGTCATATCTATTCTTTCTATTTATGTTTTGTTTATATATTCTAATATTAGTTTGTAAGAATATATTATTGTGATACTAGCATTTCTATAAGCTTCATCTGAATATTATTATTATTTACCCAATTTTTTTCAATATTGGCCGAAATATTGCATTAGAATAAATTATTGTACCACTTACATCTCCACTAAGACTAGGTTTGAAGAAAAAAGTATTATTATTATCTAATAGTTTTAGAGAAAACTTGTAACATATGGATGAAAAGACACTAATGACAAATATAAGTCCCACGGCTGGGCACAAGCTTCCTCTAATTTCAGAAAGGGTTATAAGGTAAGGCAATGTACAACGTTCTTCCTTTATCAGTGAAGGACTTAACATGTCTTCGAAATATTTAGTTTCATTTCTAAAACATGCCGATTTTCTCGCGATATTTTACTTCACCGCCCAAAACTCGGTAAAGCAGCACTTAAAATTGGAATTTAATTGGTATTTCATGTACTGTGAAATTTACAGCGAGTCCCTGATTAACCACGGCTCACATTACGTACATGCGTTTAAAGTTAATACACTTACCTTGTTCGTGAGACAGTCCCTAAAGTCCTTCTTCATAACGGAGACGGAGACCCTGTCTTGAGGCCGCTTGGGTCCGCTTACTGAGGTGACGACTGTAGATAGATCTAATTCCACAATCTGAAATGAATTTACTTTCATTTATCAAAATGACTGGGCAAATTTAGTCACGCAATATTATCAGAGAAGTAGATATTATACTAGTGTGATCGTCATCTATGTTCCACTAACAATCTCTTGCTTCATATTTCATCACATTCATCCTCTTTCTTCAATAAATTATCGATAACAGTTGTACGCTTTTGGAATTCCTTCCCTTTATATATTGAACGTCCTTAGTCTCATTTTTGCTTCAAAAATCTACTTTAAATTCGGAGCTCATATATAATTCATCATAATTCCCTTACTTAATTGTATCTATCATACCTATACTAACTGTCATCATTTTTTTTCTATTACTTAATTATGTAATATATGTACACATTTCATATTCAGAATTCATTGCAAACAATAATTCTTAGCGCAAGAAGATTGTCCGGAAGAAATCTTTTCCAATGCGATAATAACTCCTATTGTATCTTCTATATTCTTTTATAGGATAGGGTGACAAACGAGCACACAGTCCGCCTGATAGCAAGTGGTTGCTGTGGCCCATAGACATCTACATCTATCCTCGATTACAAATCAAAATGCAGATGCGTTGTCACCAGTGAGGACTAAGATGGAATGCCTCGTTTCCAGTAAAAAGGGTCTCCGGTTCTCTACACTCACCATACGAAACACAGCAGCATTAAGCTACTATTTTACGCTGGTATTCTATGAGAGCGTAATCCTTCCCTGGTCGAGCCGACCCATTCGTACGACAACTATACTACAAATATAACTACAGCATGGTTCTACCACGTATAATTTATTTCGTTTTGTTTTCATTGTAGAGTGTATTAATATTCTATAAAGAACATATTGATTTATTGGTGTGTGTAGGTACTAACCGTGTGGTACCTGTGTAGAAATTTGACTTGAAACGTTGCACTAGTCTCCAGAACCGATGACAATACAATAATTATATATATATATATATATATATATATATATATAAACACGTAACACAATTAACGCACTTGAGTCGATTCCTATCATTTTTAATATAGGTTTTTTTATCCCAAAATAATTAAAACTACGTTAATTACAGTCACACTAAATCTGTACAGTCAAAACAAACTGAAATGGACCGTAACTTAAGGCAATAAGACTTTTAAGAGTTCAGTTTTATTTGTATTATGACAAATTCTATAATTCAATAAAAATAAAGAAAAGTGAACTTTATTTCAAGCACGTTAAAGTCTTTGCGTTCTTGGATTTGTACTGTGACCACAACATTCCTCCAGAATCAGTGTAACCAATTTGATTATCAGTGCATAAAAATGTTTAACTAAAAATTCAATATTATATATATATATATATATATAACTATATCCTAACATCCTAAAATAAAATAATATCAGGATCATGACAGCTAATGAGCAATATGTATTGTTGAAGTTTTCGAAACCCTTAAATTATTTAAAAAAATTATAATCAACGAACTTACAGTCCACCTGGATAGTAAGTGGCTACTGCAGTCCTTGTGAACCTGCAGCCAACTTTATACAAAGAATTTACAGATGAGTTATGCACCTCTAAGGACTTAGACGTAATGCTTCACAGTCTGTAAATATACGGGCTCTGTATAGTCTATATACCCTTCAGACCGAACTACAGCAAACAATTCACTGCTATTTAGCGGCAAAAAAACATAAGGGGGGGAGGGAGGTACCTATCCAGACATCTCTTAGTCAGAGGAGTTCCTACCACCTAATTAACTTAATTAGGTTATCAAGTACCCACAAATCTAGTAATATCACTTTTTTACATAGAATAAGTATGACAAACGAGCGCACAGTCCACCTGATGGTAACTGGATGCTGTGGCCCATAGATATCTACATTTAACCACGATTAAAGATCTAAATGCAGATGTAGACATGTCTCAATCATTCATTTCTCGTGTTCTAATCATTCTGGTACATTGTGTCACGCTTACCGGACATTCGGATCGATCATTCAAATAGATCATTTCGGAGACACTAAAAACAATTTATTCCGAACATTCGGGATTCGGTCGGTTTTCGACTCATTCACAATTCACATTAATCACGAGTTAAAAAGGTTTCGTCAACTGTTTGTGATTGGTTGTACCGGAACATTCAAAAACAGATGAATGAACCATCAATACATTAAAGTGTACCAGCTCAAACGAACGCATCATTCATGATTGACAAATGTCTATGCAGATTCCAGTAGACAGGTCTTTGGCTCTACACTCGCCATACGAAACACAGCAGCATTAAGCTGCTATTTTACGCTAGTATTTTGTGAGAGCGTGGTCCTTCGCCGGTCGAGCCGAACCACTCGTGCTACAACTATAATATAGCTGCAGCTAACTTAAGCAGCAGTTAACTTTACGTGGTAAAAGGGATATCAAGTACCCACAAATCTATTAATATTACTTTGTTTATATGAATCAACCTATTGCAACCCTAAACAGGTTCTAGAGTTCTTTTTCTAAATTATCAAATTTTCAGTAAGGTTTGAACTGGAATTCTGGTTCCGGTAGTGGTTTCACTTTAAAACTACCGGTTATAAATTACCTCACTTTCACTGAATGTCTTTAAGGCAATAGTGAATAGGATTCAGTTAAGTAATGGCCAAATACTCAAACGCTACTCAATTTTAAGATGTCGTTAAATCTCGTGGTGTCACAGTCACTTTAGCTTAAAGTGAAAGAGACAGCACAAGACTTAACGGTATCTTACGAGGGCGGCACTGAAAATTTCGGGATTCAAGGAAGTGACACAACATTACTATTTAAAAATGTATTTATTGCTTGATGGAACCAATCATTGAAGCAACCATTCCATTCGGAAGTTGGGGTCTCCAAAATGGCCGTTTTGTAGGCGTCCACAGCTTCTACAGGTGATGAAAATCTCTGTCCACGCAATTTATTCTTTATTTTAGGGAAAGTATAGAAATCATTAGGGCTTAGGTCGGGGCTGTACGGCGGATGGTCTAATAATTCTATGTTTTCTTGCTCTAAAAACTCTTTTGTTCTGTGTGCGGTGTGAGAACTCGCATTGTCGTGATGGAGGATGATGCGGCGGTTGCAGTTCTCTTTACGGAGTTCAGAAACGACCTGTGGCAAACAAATGCTTTGTCCCTCAAGAGGAATAGTCGTAACATGGCCGGTTTTGGAGACAAACGTGGCCACTATTTTTTTTTTTGCAACACTCCGTGAACGAACAATTTTTGTTGGCTTTAACTCATTTTCGAACACCCAAACTCGTGACTGGTTTTTTGTTTCGGGTTCGTACGCGTATATCCAGGATTCGTCACCTGATACGATGTTGTAGTTGACAGCATTTGAGGATCGTGCGTGGAATCTTTCGAGAGTTCTGACGACCAAGTTTTTGCTCTTCACAGAGCGAATGCGGTATCCATCGGGAAAACAACTTTTTTACACCTAATTGTTCATGTGAGATTTTTTGTATTTGACTCATGCCAATGTCTAAAGTTGCCTGAATTTCATGGTATGTCACATGTCGATCTTCCTCAATCAGCTTACGCACAGCAGCATCAACGTTTTCTTGGGTGACTGCAGTTTTTGTACGACCTTGACGGGGATCATCACTGAGCTTGACACGTCCACGTTGAAATTCAGCAAACCAGCGATAAATTGTGGTTTTGGATGGGGCTTCATCACCAAATGCAGAAATCATCCGGTCAACACACTGTTTTTGTGTTAAAGCAGTTCGAAAGTCATAATAAATCATCGCTCTTGAATTTTCTCGAGTCAATTCCATTTTGTCAACGACTAAACAAGTTTGATAAAACCTTGTGACGAGACCGAGAATCTTTTTTTTAAATAAATAAATGGTATTCGATTTTTAAAACCAAGGAGTTTTCAATTAAAAAGATTTTAATATGACAGGAACAGTGGAAATATTCCATTCCCGATACTTTTAGTGCAGCCCTGTAAAATTGAGCGCGGTTTGAGTATTTTGGCATAAGAAATTTTGGTAAACTGGTGTGTAGCTGGCTTATGATAAGTAAAAAATTAAACATTTAACCAAAATCATGCCGTCTTCAAAGAAATAAAATAAGTTTCACATAAGAGCTTTTGAAGGCATTGCATTGCCAAGACATACTACTCGCGCAGATAAAGAATGGGATCACAAATGGCGTCTCAGCTATTCGCTTGCACTGTTGATAGCTATACTCACATCCATCGATAATAACCACAAAAAAAATATTTGTTGCGATAACTAACAAATGTTTATTTTCCGGAGTACCTAACAAATTTTTATTTTCTATTTGTTTCAAGTACTACTTTGTTTTATAAAGTACAATTATTATCTAAATAAACAAAAATAAAACATTGTTTCATCAATTAATGATTTACATCCCTAATTAGTTTTCAGTTAATATTTAAGTACATAATTCAATTACGCTAATCTGTCCTTTTTTTCAATAACTGAAATTTTCTAAATACTACAAAATAATATACTAACACTTACCGTTACCGTAACAGCCTATTAAAGTCAACTGATGAACATAGGCCTCCCCCATAGATGGCCTCATAGGGGGGATATTTGCTATAGTTGCCACGCTTGGCAAGAGGGATGGCAGACACCGTTTTAATTTTTAGTCCTTATTAGTAAGAAGCTGCTGTCCATATCTTGATTTGTTTGGTTTAACGCACGGGATGATTTGGGGCAGTGGATATTCGAACACCGCCACTACGATAATACACTAACGTTACGTTTTAAAGTAAGTTACTGTATACGTCCCACTGCTGGGCACCGGCCTCCTCTCATTTCTGAGAGAGTTTTAGGGCAAGGAAGTGTCCGCCGCGCCGCCCCAATGCGTGTTGATCGAACTTCAGATGTCTTCGAAAGATTTTTTTCTTATTTCACAGACATGCAGAATTCCTGTTTTCTTTCGCCGCCAAGCACGCGGTAAATCAGCACTTAAAATTGCAATTAACAACTTCATTGGTGCCGGCGGGGCGGCGATCTAATCAGGGTTGATCGCGTGCTATGAAGTTTACACCGAGCTCTTATCTCCTGAGCTACCACGGCTCAGGTATAGTGTATGGAAGAATTAAAATCCGGAAACTATTTAGGTGATCAAACAGAGTTCTTACCTCAGAGAAGATTGGATCCTGCTCGGTGTTGTTATAGTCTCGGAACTGCTTGGTTGCGCGGAGGTAGGCCTCAATGACTCGTATCTTCTCTTCTGAGCGATCTGAAAATAAAAAAGATTTCTTCCAATCATCATAATCAGTATTGCAGTCCATTACAAGCAGTGGCGTAGCGTGCCTTATACGGGCCCTGTATCAATTAAATTTGTTGGGAGGCCCAAATGAAAGGCCCAAAACCGCTCGTATTGAATTAAAATAATTATATATTGTTTATAAGTTAATAATTACTATTATTACTCCTAGGAACTAAGCTATACAAACAATTTAAATCAAATATAAACTTGTCTTGTTCGGCAAACTTAATAGGTCGGGGGAAAAGTTTCTTCGTACCTATTTTATATAGACAGTTTTTTCAATGTTTTATTACATTAAATTATAACATATATATGTGCCATTTTGTTCGATATACTTTTTGCTATCTTGTAGGTAGATGAAATAATCCCGTTGCTGTAGAAATTTTAAGATTTTTGATCAAAAAAATGCGTAGTTTTGATTGTTGCTCTCTTGATGTTAACCTAACACTACCCAAAAAATTCTGAAGAGACCTAAACAAGTGAAAATTTATGGATGGCAAGGTCAAGATTATATGGTGGATGGATTAACACTTCCCAAGCAAGCTCTCTCAATTTAGCTGAGTGACTAAAGATCTGTGCGGCCTGGCGTTATCATGATGAAAGATCAAATCTTTTTTTGATGATCAATTATTACGGCCGTTTTTTCTTAATTTCTTGCTTGAGTCTTACTAGTTGTTGACCGTAGAGATCCGAATCGATGTTTTTGCCCAGCTTTCAAAGCTCATAATAAAGGACGCCCTTCTCATCCCACCATACACACAGCATCACCTTATTACGTGTTAGTCCGGGCTTCGCTGCGGTCTGTGGACTTTATTACCCTTTGACCATGATCTTTTTCGCAGGATCTTGTCGTAGGTGATCCATTCTCATCACCAGTGATTAATCTTTTCAAAAATGGTTCAGTTTTATTACGTTTCAATAGAGAATCGCAAATGAGTACATGATTCCTTCGGTTTCTTCCAGTGAGCTCGTGTAGTACATATAATATCGAGCTTTTTTGTATAACCCGACTTTTTTAAATGGCTCAAAACTGTTTTGTGGTAAATTTTCGATTTTTTGGCTATGTCGTAAAGAACGACTAATATGCCGATCTTGCTTCACTTTTTCAAAAATGGCATCGACCTTATTCGTATGAATGTGATCAGAGCGAAATGCATCTTTGACATCGAAATTCTCGGACTGCAAACGCTTGAACCAACTTTGTGCTACTCTTATTGACACTGCATTAGGTCTAAAAACGTCACAATTTTTTTTGACGGCATGAGGCACAATTTTCCTTATTTAGGGTTCCGTAGTTAACTAGGAACCCTTATAGTTTCGCCATGTCTGTCTGTCCGTCTGTCCGTCCTCGCTTAATTTCTGTGACCGTTAGCACTAGAAAGCTGAAATTTGGTATTTGCAAATGGCTGAAATTGGGGGACCAATATGTGTATCAATCACGCCGACAAAATTGTAAAGTAAAAATTGGAAATAATGTTTTATTAGGGTAGCCCCCCCCCCTATATGTAAAATGGGAAGTGATTTTTTTTTAATTTCAACCCTAACGTGTGACATATTGTTGGAAAGGTATTTAAAAATGAATAGGGGTTTAATAAAATCATTTTTGATAATGTCAATATTTTCGGAAATAATCGCTCCAAAAGTAAAAAACAATGTGTGTCCCCCCCCCTCTAACTTTTGAACCATAAGTTTAGAAAATATGAAAAAAATCTGAAAAGTAGAACTTTATAAGGACTTTCTAGGAAAATCATTTTGAACTTGGATGGAAACAATAGTACCCACTACCGGGAGCAGTTGCAGGAGCGCGGAGCGCTGCTGGAGCGCGAACATAATGGATACCCACCTTTAAACTCATAAGTGGGAACACTTATTGTGACGGACGGGAAACTACGGAACCCTATACTGAGCGTGGCCCGACACGCTCTTGGCCGGTTTTATTTTTGTAATAAAACTATAAAAATGAAATGCATCTGCAATTCCTCTGGTGTTGCAGCTGTTCGTGGGCGGCGGTAATCACTTACCATCAGGTGAGCCGTATGTTCGTTTGCCCCCTCTCCTATATAAAAAACGTATCGCGTAACTTAATGTCCTGGATAAATTCGTCACTTATAATACATTTGCAATTGTACGAGTATTCTAAATTTCTTTGCAACAGATGTTTTAGCGAAAAACTGGATGTTATTTGCAAGCATTCCAAAAAACGCTACTAATGAATGTTGTCTTTATTTTAAATTATTTAATGCCAAGATTCCAATGAATCTGTAGTTCTGTGGGGTAGTCCTTCTATTTTAGCACTGATTGTTCAAACAAGAATTATGTATAAATTTTTATAGGTAATGTCTACAAGTATCTTGGGCCAGTTTTTATCATATTTCTATAAATGACTGCACAAAACAGAGGGAGAAAATCGGAAGAAAAATAACATATACGAATTCCGATTATCCATCCCGTCTAGGGAACTATTATTTCTAAGCAACTATTTATTTAGCCCCTGAAATACAGGTATACTATCCTAGTTTGGGGGTTAATGACCACTGTACATTTTGTGCATGTAATATGTTTATCAATAAAGATTATTATTATTATTAATATTTATTCTGTGGTCTAGGGCGTTTAGATGAACACGCGTTTCCGAGTATCCCAAAATGAGTTTCAAGTATCCCAAATTGAGTTTCGAGTATCCCAAAGTGAGTTTCAAGTATCCCAAAATGAGTTTCGAGTATCCCAAATTGAGTTTCGAGTATTCCAAATTGAGTTTCGAGTATCCCAAATTGAGTTTCGAGTATTCCAAATTGAGTTTTGAGTATCCCAAATTGAGTTTCGAGTATCCCAAATAAAGTTTCGAGTATCCCAAATTGAGTTTCGAGTATCCCAAATTGAGGTTCGAGTATACCGAACTGAGTTTCGAGTATCCGAAAATGAGTTTCGAGTATCCCAAATTGAGTTTCGAGTATCCTAGAATGAGTTTCGAGTATCCTAGAATGAGTTTCGAGTATCCCAAATAGAGTTTCGAGTATCCTATAATATAAATAGAAATATAAATAAATTTATTCACAAGAAATATGGTACAAGGATGTTCTTATAAAATAATGAGTTTCGAGTATCCCAAACTGAGTTTCGAGTATACCAAATTGAGTTTCGAGTATCCTAGATTGAGTTTCGAGTACCCGAAATTGAGTTTCGAGTATCCCAAATTGAGTTTCGAATATCCCAAAATGAGTTTTGTGTATCTCAAATTGAGTTTCGAGTATCCCAAATTGAGTTTCGAATATCCCAAAATGAGTTTTGAATATCCCAAATTGAGTTTCGAGTATCTCAAATTGAGTTTCGAGTATTCCAAAATGAGTTTCGAGTATCCAAAATGAGTTTCAAGTATCCCAAATTGAGTTTCGAGTATTCCAAATTGAGTTTCTAGTATCCCAAATTGAGGTTCGAGTATCCCAAATTGAGTTTCGAGTATCCCAAATTGAGTTTCGAGTATCCCAAAATGAGTTTCGATTATGCCAAAATGAGTTTCGAGTATCCCAAATTCAGTTTCGAGTATCATGTCTTAACAGGACGCCACTTTATCTAGTGGGGCGTCGCCCTACACTACTTTTACCGGTAAAAGACTGCCATACAAGAATTTTTCTTCCCTATAGGTTGTAGGTTTTTCGAGCTATATGTTCAGCTTATTGCCAATTACGCTTCCTGATCCGTTGAGCTATTTTGGTTACTCTGGTTATATCGCGCTATAATCTAACTATCACGCGCAAGTATACCTAGAGAATAACCAGAATACCCGCGTTAAATAACAGTTTAATGCTTCTTTGTTTTGTATGCTGTGTAAAGAAACGAGGACTTTCTTTATTGGCAACGAAGCACTCTATCGTAGAGCCACGCGGCAGCTATATATATGGGTGTAGCACGAATGGGTCGGCTCGACCAGGGAAGGACCACGCTCTCACAGAATACCAGCGTAAAATAACAGCTTAATACTGCTGTTTCGTATGGTGAGTGTAGAGATCCAGAGACCCTTTTTTACTGGAAACGAGGCATTCCATCTTAGTCCTCAGGGATGATAACGCGTCTGCGTTTTCATTCTTAATCGAAGATAAATGAAGATGTCTATGGGCTACAGCATCTACTTACCATCTGGTGGACTGTGTGCCTGCTTGTCACCCTAATTTTATATTAAAAAAATAAGTTCTTATGGGTAACAACTCAATTGCGTTTTGATTCTTAACTGAGGTTGACCGTAGATTGTTATTGACCACAGCATCCACTTACCATCACCAGGACTGGATGCCCGTTTGTCAACATATTCTATTTGTTATCAGGAAGTCGCTGCTGCCCATCTCCTATCCCAATTTCCCTCTGTGTACTCTTACGACACCCACAGGACGTTATGGGGTTAATAGATATTCTTGTACCGCTACTAACAGTTAATATGAATAGCTGAATGTTAAACTGACTGGTCTGCACAAGGTACTGCAGCGATCGGTTGTCCACTGGGAAGTGAGCGACAGTGGCGCCGAACTCGGGACACATGTTGGCCACCGTGGCGCGGTCCGCGATGCTGAGCGCCTCCACGCCGGGCCCGAAGAACTCCACGAACTTGCCCACCACGCCCAGAGACCGAAGGTGCTGAGTACAATTAATATTTTGTTCTTTAAAATACATTATATCCACACAGTTTTAACGATAAACCATAAGATTTTTTTAAGATAGATCTTCCTCCAGAATTTCGGTCATGGCGGACAGTCTCAACGGAGGCTAGCCATCGCAGCGCAGAACAGGATTAGAGTGTATGTGCAAGCACAGATGCACTCTCTATTCCCTCACACTAATGGTCTCATGGGACGGAAACCCGACACGACCGGAGATCAAGCACAGGACCAACGGCTTTTTCTTCTGATCTCGTATTAAATTTATAAATGATTTATCTCTAAAGCTTTCATTAACCGTCAGGAAAACATTAAAAAATTAATAAACTTGCATTAAAATAATTCAGTGTTGTCATTTATAATAACCTTCTCACGGTAATTTTTCGCAGTTTTAAAACAATATTAAAGCGTTTTCCCGTGTCACAATGTGTTTAATTTATTGTTCTCCGTATTAACTGACAATCATTGAAATAACCCAAGCAACGAATTCACAATTATTATTTTTAAATTAAGGGAAATGGGAAAAAACGATAAAAAAATTAATGGAGGCACGGGAATTAAACACCGCCAACATCCTAACTTTCTGGGCTCCTTCCTACTGGGTATTTCCTGACAGGAAAAGCCATAACTGATGTTTGACCCAACCCGGGAGTCGAACCCGGGATCTCGTAATCAGCACTCACGTTTACGACCACAAAATCGTGCATTATAAAATGCTCTTGGTTTTGTAGACATTAAATAATTTTGCGTTGCTAGTAAGAGATGACCGAGGAAAAGAAAACAGCAGATGTGTAGCAGCAACTTCCCGATTTTTAGTGAAAGTTAACTACTGAAGTGCTGAATATAGGCCTCCCTATAAATCGCCTCATAAATGGAGTATTCATACGTGGCAATTTCGGCGAGAGATTAGCTACCGCAGCGTTTTACTTTCTGGTTGCTATCAGGTAGACTCTGCTGTCAGTTTACTGGTTTGGTTCCTTGACGTGAGGGGTCATGAGGTAAGGGATTTTCTTACTTCTTCCACCGCCACTACATGGTCGTGATATCTTACTGATAAAAAAACATTTCTTATTTAAATTTTTTCTACTGTATGCGTTCTGCCGGGTAATGGCGGTGTAACTATTCATCACTACATTTTGTAGCGCGGGTGTAATCTGATAGTTAATCTGAAAGTTAGCAAAGATATTGTTGCGCACCATAAATAATATCTGGTACATCACCACTAGCGCCATCTAGTATCTAGTAGCAGAACTAGGAGAGCTTTCCAGAAAATTCTGTACTAGAACTTTCTACACCTAATCAGTCGGTACCGGTATGTACTCGAACATTCTAAATGTTTCAGTAGATGAGGCCTATATAAGGCCAGTAAGGACCGCGACCGAGTGAGTATTGAATTTGGGATCAAGCGAATACTTCGAAGCGATATAACTGCGAACTAAAGTGATTAGTAGTGCAATTGTGTTTTATTATTAGTATGTTTTAAGTTGTAATTAGTGTTCGGTAATTAAGACATAAAATACCCAGACCGGAATGGGTTGGGACTCTTAATACCAGCATGGTTTAGAAGCCTAATGCTGCTGTGTTTTGTATGGTGAGTGAAGAGCACCGGAGACCCTTTTTACTGAAAATAATTAATGTCATCTTAGTCTCAATGGTGGCAACACATCTGCATTTTAATTATTATTCGGAAATATATGTAGAAGTCTTTGGCCACAGCATCAACTTAATATCAGGTGGACAGTGTGCATACTTGACATCCGTATTCTATAAAAATAAATGATACTATGCGTTACTATAAGCAAAAATACAGTTAAATATAATAAGGTTTGGACTTTTTAAGGAAAACATGTGCATGATCTTAAACTCATAAAATCTAATATCTCACCTTGGTGATAGTCAGCACAAGGTCCGTAGAGGTGGCTAATGGATTCAGTTCCCCGACGAGTTTGTATCCAACCACCTTCGGCAGCAACATGCTGATAGATTGACCCAACATCACTGCCTCCGCTTCGATACCTGGAGAAACCAGAATTTACGATGAAGTTGATAATTTTCAAAGACATGGACTATTTTTAATTATTATGAGACCACTGTGGAATCATATAACAAACAAAAACATAAATACTCTCGCCTATCACCCAGAAGGGTAGGCAGAGACTACGGACTTTCATTTCGCACGATCCTGATACACCTCCCTCCTCTACTTTACTTGTATATACCTACGCATACATGTTCATCGGTTAAGGGCACCCGTACCCTTAATCTAGCCCAGATTCAATACATCGACAATTTGGTCGATAATTTTCCGTCTGCGGCGTCCCTTAGGAACTTTGCAAAAAACAGACATATCGATAGAAATGTATCTAAAAAAAAAGTCCAGTAAGATTTGGTGTAAGAAAATCTATTCTTCTAGGGATATCGTAAGGGGGGTATCGTAACAGATGGTCCAGGACATCTTTTACGCTACTGTAAAGTCTGGGTAAGTATCTCTTACATATCTCTACTGCTAAATATATTTTGTGTTAATTGAAATAATAGTTTGGTTAAAAAGGCCGGAGTCCATCCTATGATTTTGTAAAATTGTATTTTAACCCCAATTTTTCCCTCTACGTCATTAATCCAGCTATCTTGGAAGTTTTTGTGAATAATTATGGACAATTCCCTATACAACTAGATCACTCTATCCAACTAGAGAAACCTTCCACACAAGCTTACAAAAAGGCGAAATAGCTACAAAATCATGGTGTAGATGCTGACATGAATTTATTGAAAGCAGTACTGTTAAAATTATTCAAACAAAATAAACCTGTGAGGCGAAAATACGTGCACTCTGTGTTCCAGTCTTAGAGTATAGATACCCAGTATAGTTAGGGGAGGGCGGGGTAAAACGGGACAGGGCAGATGTCGTAAAATGTGAGACAATGCACCAACCACGCCGCCACCATCAATCGCCGAATGGCTATTGCCGCTGGACAAAAAAACTGAATTCGTTGTTTCGGTTATAATTGTTCATAGAAAAAGTTTATGTGACGTTCATATACATATTTTTAACATAATAATATAAAAAAGGGATAACCCTTGAAAAAATATTACCGATATCTATCACGTGTTCGGTTTGAGTCGTAGACAGAGAATCCAGAGTATTATGATGTTGCATATTTCATATTAGCATTTGTAAGAAAGAGATATAACTACTAGATTGTTGTCGTTATTCCCGTACGAGCTAACAAGTCGTTTGGTATTGAATTTGGATTTGGAGGCAGACATTGAAACTGTTACGGAGTATTTCAATGTTTATAATTTGTTTTAGCATATAAAATTCGATAATTATAAGTTGTTAGCTATAGTACGTTTCTAGGGCAGGCTGAAAAAAGTACATTGACATCAAGTATTATGTTTTTTTTTTTAATTCTTTTTTTTTAATTTAGGGACTTAGGTTATTTTAAACATGTCAGTCCCATTGTACCTAATAACTAAATAACAAACTACAATTTCTTAAATTATTTAAGCAAAAAATTAACTAAGTTATATACAATTTGAGCAGCATCAGATAATGGTTCAGACAAAATGCTTTAATATTCCCCTAGGTTACAAATTTTAATATCAGTTTTGGCAATTAATAGATTCCTTTCATGATGATTTTTGGAAAATTCCGCGGGCAAGTGTTGTACATCTTCTATTGTTTTGCATGTATCGCAATTTGGAGATTGTTTCATTTTCATCATGAAAGCAAAATTGTTACACGGAATGTGTCCGGAACGAAGTCGCATTGCTAATACAATATATTTTCTATTCAACAGACACTGATTAAACCAAGGCACTTTCGGAGGCTGACTCTGGATGGTTTTGTACCAAATCCCTTTTTCTTGCGATCTTTTATCAAAATATTCTTTCCAAATTGTATAACATTTCTCTTTATATTTAATTAAAATTTCTGAATAATAAGGATAAATATTATTTCTCTTCGTTGGGTGATTGCCAATTTTATGTTTATTATAAAGTATTATGTTAGCATCAAAACAAAACGACAGTTATTGCTTCCATACATTTCTTTATAAATTATGTATCGTTATGCGCTAAGCGTATCTCATGGTACGGGGTAGGGTGAAGGAAGCGGTCATTCAGAGATAATAAACCTGTTTCGACGCAATTTGGGATAGGTCTCACGCCGTGCGTATTTGAGAAAGCGGATGGAGCAGAACTCATTCCTTATTCTGCTTTGGGATGCACTTGCGTTGCGTGCAGATAGTTTGAGGTTTAAAATTTTCGTTTATAGTTGTTGTTTTGATTTGTTAGTTGTATTATTACGTTTTGTATAAAAGTTTTTGTTATTGTTTTGTGACGTTTTGTACATTATCACTAGTATGAAATCGGGTCCATCGAAGTGAAAATCTCATAAAGACTTCAGGTCACCACGAAAGAATTTCGGAAAGTGTCGCATATTTCGGAAACCGAAAAAATAATGATTGTAAACATCTATAAATATGTAAAAGAAACGTGGTGTAGTGACGTATCATGTATAAAACGGATATGAAAAAGAAGACTGCCGATATTTTAGGTTATAATCAATGATACCTATGACTAGTCTGTAAAGTGTCTCCGACAATCTATTATGAGAAATTTTATGCATGCTTCTTACCAGCCCTCAGTAACTCATTCAAGAGGACATTTACCCTGTGTTAATTGTCGTTTAAATATAAACGTAACAAACAACAAAAATAACACGAAGGCATTTGTTGGAAATTGCAGACTTGCGAAATCTTATACAACAATGGGTTCGACCACAGCAGGTAAAATAGTTACAATCACGTGTCATGTCTTCCTTTTCTTCATTCTACATTATAACAATGCTTTTTAACTGAGTTGACTTAAAATAATATCAATCAGCCCTATAAATAAAGCCTTGAGCAAGATTAACTTTACTCCTAGTTTAAAGCATAAAATATATAATTTCAGTATTAATAAATATAGAGTAAGGAGGGAGTAAACTAATCCGGATCTACTCTCGGAATAAAAGTTAATCCTTGGCGGTACCTAGTATAACGACGGAATAAGCATAGACTAGTCGCGTATTTTGACATTTTGTAAAACTACGTTTACGCGCGTTGTTGAAAAAAAAAATGAAAAAAATGAAAAATACTTTATTTAACAGTTAGCACCTTTACACATAATTTAGCAGCGGTTCTCACACTAGGCACGTAGACCTGTATCGTGAAAGCCATATACACATATTAACAAAAAAACAGAGATTTGTACACGGCTGACTTTACACAGTTTTACCTTTAAACATCTACTCCAATTTATTTATGGTCTATAAATATAAACACATACTTAAACATATATACACAACATTAAATATATTATATATATACATCCATACATACACAACATACATACATACATCCACATACATATACATACAACATATATAAATATCATATATATATATATACATCACATATACATACATGCGCACACATAAATATTATAATTTGTTAATATTGCAGTATTTTAAATTTGCAATACCGCTATAATAACAATATCAATATCAGTATTGGGCACGTAGCAACTATGACAATGTTTGAAACAGCTTTTCTGTTTGCTCATAACTAAGCGTAAGCAACCAATTTCGTATTTTTATTCTAGCTGTGTTCGTCGAGCAATCTCTTATGTCGCATGCCTTCATAGCTTTATTATAAATTAGTGTCTCAATGAATGGACTAAATCTTTTTGCGAAAGCTGTGCGAATGCTTGATAATGGCATTTGAAACACCCGTTTTTCCATCAGCTCATTGTATTTATGTGAGCTTAATATTGTTCTATAAGCACACGTAGCCACATATAAGACAAATAGCTGCCGAACTGTTAGTACTTTAATGTCTCTGTACAGTTTAGCTGTTGGATACCTCTATTTCTTGTTAAGCATAACTTTCAGGACCGAACGTTGAGCTCTCTCAATTTTTATCATGACTGTTTTGGAAGCGCTTCCCCAGCAAGGACATTAATGTGCTCAGGGGTGCAGAGTTTCTCAGCCATCTGATGATGTAAACTATGTTACTCTGTGAATTCTTGCTGCCAATGCCGATATATGCGCCTTGAAGTTAAGGTTGTGATCAATTAATATACCCAGGTATTTAATGGATTCCACTCTCCGAATTTTTTCACAACTACACAAATTATTTTCGGTCGTGCAAATATGCAATCTTATGTGTTTGTCAGTAGGTGGTATTGACGAACGGGTCTTATGAAAGCAAATATAATTAGTTTTCTCGACATTAAGAGTTAACAGGTTTGAGTTTAACCAATGAGAAACCTGAGAAACACCACGTTCCGCCACAGAAATGGTATCATCCCATCTTTTTCCACTGTATAAAAGGACCGTATCATCAGCATAACATATTATTTCTGAATGTTTTGAGTTGAACTGATGTATGTCGTTCATGTATATGATGAAGAGAGTAGGACCGAGAATACTTCCCTGAGGTACACCATAGTTAACATGTTGCATTTCACTTATACATGTGCCCACTCTCATGCACTGTTTCCGTTTCTGCAAATAGCTTTTAAACTAATCTAAAACTAATCCTCTGATTCCTACGTTTTCAAGCTTTTAATATAGTAAAGGAACGGAAACAGTATCAACATCCTGGGCTAAGTCCAGGAATACGCCAATACAGCATTCGTTTTTGTCAAGGCAAGAAGATATATGTGAAACTAAGGTGGTTATAGCGTCCTCGGTGCATTTTCTTTTTCTAAATCCAAACTGTCTTGAAGAGAGCAGATTAAATGCTTCTAAGTAATGCATTAGTCTTTTATTTACCTATTTCTCAAGGAGTTTGGAAAACACACTCAGCAGAGAAATGGGTCAATAATTATCTGGAGAGTTTTTTAGGCCCTTTTATATACAGGATACACCATTGCAGTCTTCCAAACTTCTGGAAATACACCGGTAGAGATACTCAAGTTGTATATTAC